GCTGGGCCTGCGCTTTGGGTCTATTCAGGATCCACGGGCCCTGGATCATCTCACTCACTCGCTGGGCCTGCGCTCCTGGTCTATTCAGGATCCCCGTGGGCCCTGGGTCGCCAGATCCGCAGCCCCGGGTAGTCTCACTCACTCGCAGGGCCTGGGCTCTGGGTCTATTCAGGATCCCGCGGGCCCCCTTCAGGATCCCGCAGGCCCCCTGTTCTGTTCTTTCTTTTATCTCTTCCTTTTCTGTTTCCCTCCAGTCTTCTGTACCAGTTTCCCAAACTTAGTGATCCTCCTCAGTCCTCCAGCCTTACTTCTAATCTCTTTCTCTTCTTCTGTTTCTCTATTTTCCTAACTCACTTTAAATTTTAACACCTGAGGGTAAGACAGTCATATTAAGGACTTACACACTGCATATAATTTTCTGGTATGTCTCAGATTTTGTTATATAACTGCAAATCTAGTTCACATGGCTAAGGCGACAAATTAATGGTTACCTCCTGCTTATAATTTTCTAAACTATGTCTGACATTATTGTTATTGCTGATGGTGCCAAAAGTAACATAACTATTCTAAGCAGCTGTTCCTCCTAGTATTTAAAGACTAAGACTAATTAAAGTTCACAGAAAAGCTGTGGCCAAGCACCAGGGACTGGGCTAAGCAGGCAGAAACTTCTGATTCCCAACAAATTTAAGAGGTAGGATCTAGCAACAGACTCAAAACCCAAAACTCAGCTATCTGGAAGACACTTTGGAGAAGTAGTCATTTCCTAAGGGTTTTAAGTACTAGCAATAAAACAACTCACCATAGATAATTTACCAACATCACTCAGGAATTAAACTAAGAAAGAAAGAAAGAAAGAAAGAAAGAAAGAAAGAAAGAAAGAAAGAGAAGAGAAGAAAAAGAGTTTAAATAAGATGCAACCTCAAATATCACCAAAGACAAATGCAGTGGGCAATGAGATGGAATAATCTGAGAACCAACTACCTGGCCTTTCTGAAGTACTAACAACAAAGCAATTGAATGAGGCTCAAAAAAAAAAAAAAAAATCCGAAATAATTTCTCAGATAACTGCAGAGATGGGTGGCCACAATGAAAACCATGCTTAGTAACTCTAGAGCAGATACAGACAAGAAAATAGAGCTTAAGAAAATTGTGGAAGTCATGAAAGTTCAGCATATGAAAGAAACGGAATCATTAGGGAGACTCAAGCAGATATCCAAGAGAATAAAAATTCCACTGAATGTATTTGCAGCAGATTAAGCCAATGTGAGGACATGATCTTAGACATAGAAGACAGGCTTGCAGCTACTGATCACTAAAAAATTTCTTAAAGTTTCAAGAGACAATGAGAAATCAACACACCAGCTGCTAGATGATACAAAAAAAGAGAATAACTTAAAATTGATTAGAGACAATGAAAAAGCAGGAGATAGCACAAATGATATAAAAAACTGTTCAGAGATGCCATGGCAGAAAACTTCCCGGGTAGAGAAAAAGAATTTAACATACAGACAAATGAGGCATCTAGAGCACTGCCATGATTCAAAATAATCTACTGCCAGGCATATCACAGTCAAGATTCTAGTAATTCACAAGAATAAAGTATTTAAAGCTGTTAGGGAAAAGAAATAAACTATCTACAAAGAAAGCCCATCAGAATCACAGCATATTTCTCAGAATAAATCCTCACGTCAAGGAGACTTGGAGTAATGTACTTTAAAGGAAAATAACCTTCAACCCAGATTGAAGTACCCTGACACTATCTTTTAAAACTGATAGAGAAATAAGATATTTCTATGACAAAAAACAACAGAGGATATTTATGATCACCAAATCAGCACTCCAAAATGTTTGAAAGGACACTATAAAGAGAAAACAAGGACTAAAACCCCATAAACCCCAACAGAAGGAAAACAACAGGCAAGGCAAACAAATGGAGTAAAAAAATGGTGGGGTGAGGAACAACAGGCAAGTAACATGACAAGAATAAGTCAATATTTACATCAATTGTAACCATCAATGTCAATGGCCTCAATTCACCAATCAAAGACACAAACCACAGAATGGATCAAGGAGCATGATCCAACAATATGATGCACATAGAAACACATTTAATTCAAAAATTTATATAATGAAAGTCAAAGGAAGAAAAATAATACTCTATGGGAGAAAATCAGGGGTTGCTATTCCATGTGCAAACAAAAAGAATTTCAAGCAAAAACTGATTAAGAGAGATAAAGAATGTGACTTCATCCTTGTAAAGAGAACAATCAAAGAGGAAGAGATAACAATCATAAATATACATGCAGCAAATATCAATGCACCCAACTATATGAAACAAATATTGATAGGCATCAATTCCCAGTACCCCCCCC